GCAAGTAACTTAAAGGGAGTAGGGAAAGAAAGGTAAGAACTTAATATAATATAATATAACCTTCACCATTTAAATATATAAAAGTAAAACGTACACAAGGGGGAGGGGTATTAACACTTTACAGAGGGGATCAACACTGTAGTCTTCTGCTGGAGACTATGGATCCTCGAAGCTAGGTGCTGAGTCCGCGGTGCTTTCTTCGTGGCCTCAAGACGTGTCCTCTGAGAACGCCGAGTCTACCCTGGCCACAGGTCAGCCACAACACAGGTCCACTGGGGGCACCGTCGTGGAGGCCGTCAACCACACGTCCAGCAGGTCTGCTGGCAGGTACTGAGCCACCAAGGCTGGTACGGCCACTCCACGAACGATAAAAGGGGTACGCCCTAGACAGGAGTCTCGTGTGATATCACCAATCACCCTCCTGTCGTCAATACCCCAGTGGATTATCGTCTCCAACCGTCGGTCCCGGGTAAATCCTTCCACTGCCACTCCACTGGCAGGCTTAACACACCACAGTGTTCTTCCGGGGGGACGACGTCACGACAGCTGCAGCAAACTTCACTGTATGGAGACTGGCTGCCTCGGGTAGACTGACTACACCTTCAACACAGTGGTCCCAGGTCGGCTCTGTAAGCAGACACGTCATTAATAACCGGGACACTAATACACCACACTCACAGGCTCAGATACAAACGCCCGACATATCCACTCCATAGATGGCGCTCTCGTCGGAGCACCACTTCACCAGAGGTCAGGAGCGGCGGTGTTGAGCGTTGAACCAGACTGGAAACTGGCCCTCGAGGCCAGTACACGCTGTCCTCACCAGGTGTCGTCGTTCGTTTGGCGGGGGTTTCGGGAGCTGACCCACAGATGGCGTGTTTGTCACTGCTCCAGGCTCGGACGCTGTATCCGGGTTCGTAACAGGCCTGGCAGAATAACTCTCAGGGGATGACTCGTTTTTCCTGCAGCCTGAGATCATAACACACCCTTGCCTATCACCGTCTCTCTCATACCAGCAGCATGGTCTCCTGTGTTACGTGTTGAGGACATGAGCAGCAGCATGGTCTCCTGTGTTACGTGTTGAGGACGTGAGCAGCAGCATGGTCTCCTGTGTTACGTGTTGAGGACATGAGCAGCAGCATGGTCTCCTGTGTTACGTGTTGAGGACGTGACCAGCAACATGGTCTCCTGTGTTACGTGTTGAGGACGTGACCAGCAACATGGTCTCCTGTGTTACGTGTTGAGGACGTGACCAGCAACATGGTCTCCTGTGTTACGTGTTGAGGACGTGACCAGCAACATGGTCTCCTGTGTTACGTGTTGAGGACGTGACCAGCAACATGGTCTCCTGTGTAATGTGTTGAGGACGTGACCAGCAACATGGTCTCCTGTGTTATGTGTTGAGGACGTGACCAGCAACATGGTCTCCTGTGTTACGTGTTGATGACGTGACCAGCAACATGGTCTCCTGTGTTATGTGTTGAGGACGTGACCAGCAACATGGTCTCCTGTGTTACGTGTTGATGACGTGACCAGCAACATGGTCTCCTGTGTTATGTGTTGAGGACGAGACTAGCAACATTGACCTAGATTCACGAAGCTCCATGTATTTCTTCATAAGTAGGTTTGCTACGAAGGTTCCTAAGTATGCTCTAAGAAGATGCTTAGGTGCAATTCACGTAGGTCCACTTAGGAAGATATTTGTTGGTTCACCTGCGTGCCGATAGAGGTCACTACTGTGTTTCGTTTGGCCAATCAGAGAGCAGGCAACATTCTTCATATTGAAGATTTAGCGCTGGCTTATCGGAGCTCTATTGCCTCCTATTTACGTCAAATTTTCTTATAAAATTAGTATATTTCGAAGAAAAACTATGTTTTTTTCAACTTCTACAGCCAGCACGGACATTGTAGTAAACAAACATGTTACATTTGTTGTTTACCTACGTAATTCTAAGAGATACTGTGCAGCTGTCCTTGTTGCTCGGAAAATGCGCTGACAATTATTGTATATATTTACTGAATTTACCCAAGGGCCACTAACTATCTAGTGACCTCGAAGAGGACAGAAAGCCGGCGGCTTGTTAAAGGGCCCGCCAATTGTCTTAATTATAGTTTTTACCTGGACTTTGGCATTTACGGCTTCAGCGGGTAGGCGGTTCGATGGGTTTATAACCCTCTTTGTGGAAAAAACATCTGTTTTCAGTCCTACTTGAGAGAACATACTCTCCAACACTATATCTGTGATTGCCCTGTTATCAGTGACTTCATACCAAATGGTATGAGGTACTTTGAGCTCTGTAATTACTTCATACACTCAGGAATATTGGAGATATTCTTGTGCTGCACCCAGATTTTGCCAGTGGAGGCTAATAGATCAGTCTTAAGTATTTTGTTCTCTCCTGATTCCATGTATGACTGGCCATCCTGTGAGGTGAGGATGTTGGATGGGCTTGTAGCTGGTTTTTGATCTACACTGTGTGGTCCTTCATACAGAATAGGGAAGCAGCACATTGCTGTGTATACCTAAACATGTTAAAAAATACATTGTTTGAGAGGAGTCTTGTAGAAACTGGTAAGAGTAATTATAATGTATCCATGATTCAGTGCTTACCTCTTGTGAAAATCGTGAAGAGTTGTTTAGTCATAGTTGATTTGTTTTTTGTACTGAGGCTGGTATTTTGTACCTTGATTCCATGTATGTCTAACCATCCTGTGAGATAGGAGTATTTGATAAACTTATAGCTAGTTTTTTATCTACACTGTGTAATATTCCATATAGAATAGGGTAGCAGCACATTGCTGTGTATACCTAATCTTCTTAATAAAAAAAATCAGTAATAAAGATTTTAAATTATAGTTTGTATTATTACAAGTACTGTATTATACTTATTAAATCATGTTAACCATAGATCATCAAGATCTCATGTTGATATGTCATAGTCATATTTCTTTTGAACTGCTAATCCATGCTAATCATTTTTGAATCATTCAGTAAATTGTGCATTATGTCTCAATTTTCCACTTCCTTGGATATACTGTACAATACAAGAAGATAGAATAAAAATAAACCAGTAATATTTCTTTCATTATAGTTTTTATTTAAATAACTGCATCAATATTTTTACAGCTGACAGGATTTGTTTTAACATACAGGTGCATTATTTGTTAAAAAAAAAATTTGGTTTATTGTTACACACAATGGTGCTACATAGCCTTCCCAGCTTGATGCCTATTTTTAATACTTACTGATTAATAAATAAATAATAAATAAATTTTATTCAGGAAAAGTACGTACAGTTGATTTACAAACATAATGTTGGATTTATAGACAGAGCTAGTACATACAATACCTAAAGCCACTAATACTCATAGCATTTCGGGCAAGGTGTGGGGGGAAAAAACATTTAGACTAAAACTTAATAGTAATCGGGTTTAGGTATAAATTGTGTTGAAAGAAGGAATAAAAAAGGGAGGGTAACATAACAGAAATCAGCAATTGTACATGTTGGTGAACAAACAGCATTGTTTAAAAAATAGCAAGACATGGGTTGACATTTAAGGGGTAAGGTAGGTTACATGGAGTTAATTAGGTAGTACTTGGTTTTACTTTTAAATTGGTTGAGAGAGGTACAGCCTTTGACATGATTCGGGAGGTCATTCCACATTCTGGGTCCCTTGATTTGTAGAGCACTTCTAGTTTGGTTACACACATCCAAATTGTGTAACAGGAAGAGGTCTTGAACACAAATTTGTTCCATGCTAAAAGTAGAGGAATCAGCTGAGTATTCCTCAAATAAAATAAGTTGCCTCAGCTTATAAGGTAAATATAATAAGCATTTCTCAAATAAGTAACTGCCTCACCTCACTGCTTTACTGCTACATAGCCTTCCCGGCATGGTGCCTTCTTTTGATAATTACTTGTTCCACACCCAAGTTGTGTAACAGGAAGAGGTTTTGTACCCCTACTTCCCTCTCTCTTTTTTAATAGTCCATATAGTCATAATTATAGCTTTAAGTATTCAATGAATAAAGTTTTTGACATTTTTACCCTTCTCCTTACCTAACACCATTTGTGCAGCATATTTTTATTTTATGTCTCACCCAGATTTAATTTCAAAATAAAACCAAACTAAATGAATTAGAAATGGGTATGTATAGCTAAGGTACACCCTTACTACTAGATGAACAGGAGCATTTGGTGATAGTAAATGATCCCATCAGGCAGGGCTCATCACCTTCTCTCATATTTCATGTTCACCAGTGTTTATTTACTTAATAACTATGGGTATAATATCTTGCTATTATAAAACTAATTCTAATATCATAAAAGACATATTTACTTTAAGTTTCAAGCAGAGAATGCTTATATAACTAACACGAAGGACTCCTCTTCACGAGATTCAATTGCTATATTTTGTTCATGTTCCAAAATCTTAAAATCGATCCCAGTGTTATGTAGTAGAGAAAAATTGAGTTATATCCAGTTTACGTAAAGCTACGAGTGATCGACTCCACACTTAGATCCCGGACCAAAATTACGAAAGTTTTTCGATTTAGTGTAGCTAACTGAATACCGACGTAGCCGCCACGAAGGCGCTAAGAAGGACAACATTCGTAGCTAAGAAGAAAAACCTTCGTAAGTACCTTCGTGAATCTGGCCCCTGGTCTCCTGTGTTATGTGTTGAGGACATGACCAGCAGCATGGTCTCCTGTGTTACGTGTTGAGGACGTGACCAGCAGCATGGTCTCCTGTGTTACGTGTTGAGGACATGACCAGTAGCATGGTCTCCTGTGTTACGTGTTGAGGACGTGACCAGCAGCATGGTCTCCTATGTTACGTGTTGAGGACATGACCAGTAGCATGGTCTCCTGTGTTACGTGTTGAGGACGTGACCAGCAGCATGGTCTCCTGTGTTACGTGTTGAGGACGTGACCAGCAGCATGGTCTCCTGTGTTACGTGTTAAGGACGTGACCAGCAGCATGGTCTTCTGTGTTGCAGTGGCTGGCGGTGCCCTTCGCCATGAGTAACGAGGCCGTGGGCTCCCTTAGCCCCAGCGTGACGGACTGGTTGGGCTCCATCTCCGCGGACACGCCCTGGCTCTGGGGCGAGTGGATGGACTTCGCTGTGCTGCTCATCTTCGGGGGCATCCCCTGGCAGGTGTGTAGGTACACATGTGTTGCTGCATGTGCAGGTGTATTTGTGGGCGTGGTTTGTGTTTGCAACTGTCTGTAAGAATGTTTTATTTTTCTTCTTTTCTGAAGTTACAGAAGTAGTGACAGATGTGTACTGTTGTTGCAGGTGTAGTGTGACGTTACTGGTATAGTGACAGATGTGTACTGTTGTTGCAGGTGTAGTGTGACGCTACTGGTGGAGTGACAGATGTGTACTGTTGTTGCAAGTGAACTGTGACGTTACTGGTGTAGTGACAAATGTGTACTGTTGTTGCAGGTGTAGTGTGGCGTTACTGGTGTAGTGACAAATGTGTACTGTTGTTGCAGGTGTAGTGAAAGATGTGTACTGGGGTTGCAGGTGTAGTGACAGATGTGTACTGGTGTTGCAGGTGTAGTGGCAGATGTGTACTGGTGTTGCAGGTGTAGTGTGACCTTACTGGTGATTGGTACTGGTGTTGCAGGTGTACTAACACGCGTGTACTGGAGTTGCAGGTGTAGTGAAAGATGTGTACTGGTGTTGCAGGTGTAGTAACAGGTGTGTACTGGTGTTGCAGTTGTATTGACAGGTGTGTACTGGAGTTGCAGGTGTAGTGACAGGTGTGTACTGGAGTTGCAGGTGTAGAGACAGATGTGTACTGGTGTTGCAGGTGTAGTGACAGATGTTGGAAATTTCCAACACTAATACAACACTGTTGTATTATTATTAATTATTACTAAATCTACTAATCATTGTAGTAATTAAAATTAACCAAACGTAGAGTTCACATGTACTAATAATTACATCTGTACAATAAGGCTAGAATTCTTACGTCACCAGACACCAGTATTGCGTCAGATTCCATTATAATAAACACAACTATATCCAGTGTGTCTGAGAATTGAGTTTGATTCTCTATAAAACAACGGTGTTCTGTGTGATAATTATTTACAGATAAATTGATCCCCAACTAATGCCAAATAGAGCGTTTATAGTTATAACTGTTATCTGGTAATAAATTTAACGTCACGCATGAATGCCCTGGAGAGACTTTAATTCCTCTCCATTGCTTGTTTACCATCGTAAAACGGGCGAATAATAATATTTAACTCCTCTGAATAATAAACCCGTCCTTATCCGAGCATTTCAATCACAACTGCGAGAGATGATATTATTCGTAGTTAATAATTTGTGTAGAAAATGCGAGACGCGGAGCGGGGCAGGGGAGACGCCAGTACACGAGGCGACGCCACCGAAGAGAGACGCCATTACCCAAGCCACCAGGGTGGACGCCACCAAGAACGTAAGACGAAAGTCGCCACTGTGAGGTGTGAAGAACCGTTACAGACAACAACTTAGCTGGTGTCAGTGTCACTTTATACGTCGTGTTGAATTGTCAAGAGATTTAATTTGACATTCAGCCAGGAACCTGTTAATTTGTTCCGTGTAGCACAACGTGACCGGCCAGAGAAGTGCGTCAACATCTAGGCTAGGCTCGACACCACGTTCGTTATTACGACACTAGAACCTAGGACGCGAACTTCGGCAAGCCTTAACTTACACAGTGCCCTATTAGCTAAGTACCTTTATTCCCATTTGATGCATCATTTTGGAGGGGGTTATAGCTGGGTAGCTTGTCGTCACGCAGAGCGACTATAAAAAACCACAGGTTATTATTAGTCTCCATTCTCTAATTTAATTTTCTTGAGCATAGATGTCTTGCAGCTTAATATGTTGCTACTGAATATATTTTGATTTGCAGTGTGTGTGAAGAATTTCCCGAGCTGTCATTTCCCGTGTTAATCATCTCCCAGTGTTCCATGATGAGTTCAGGAGATTCCGAGGATGAGTCATAATCGATGTCTTGGAAAACGTCTTCAAGCTAAGACCCCTTTCCGTATTCCTTAAATTACATTATCTGTAGTATTCATGCAGAGCACTGTTTTCTGGATTAACATGTGTTTATTATAATTATTAATTTCTCATGTTCATAATCTATGTTCTTATAGGCGATTGTTTCTATTGATTCTATAATTGGTCCTAGGATTAGATTATTGCATAATGAACTGGTGCACGAACCACACTAGTTCCTGGACATATATGAAGTTCCAGTAATAACCCCCTAATGTAGGTGTTTGAGGCTTTGATTCAGTTAAATTATCCAGCCCATTAATTATATAAGTGATCATATTCTCTAGTAGTTTATCCATAGTTACTGGTTCATCTAGGAATTTTCTAATGATCATATTTTATTAGTTTCCCTCTTTACTATAAAAGCGGGTGGTCCTTCGTAATTGATTTTCATTACATTAATATTTAAATAAATAGAGTCAAGCCCCAAATGTCCCACAATATGGTCCTTCGAACCGGATAAACATAAATTATAATTATAAATACTAATTATTAATAACAAATCCTTGTGTGATGTAATCTAGACTAACCATTTAATTAATTGTGTCTGCCAACAGCGTAACACATAAGTTAGTCTAAGTCACACCAATTCATTGCTACTTTCACCTCATGTACAAGGTAGCACTAGTGGGACACAGTTAATTGCCCACAACACTTAGGCCTACACTTCATACTGAAGTAAGAATCTTTAGGTCATCAGGAGCATCAGCTCATAACCTTTATATGTTTTCACTTGTGTGTGTAAGTGCACCCAAATAAAAACAAAAAACCCAAAAATACAGCACAATTATATTCACCTTACTGCACCACAATAATCTTTACCAATCTTATTAGGTAGAATTTAGGCTGAGATTGTGCTGAATTTGGTACAAGCCCAGACTAAATAAATTTATAATTCTTAGTTAGGAATTATCACGACTAGACTTAAACTAGTCAGTAGTGTATGTATAATACTATTTGTGCTGACCCTATTCAGGGTGGGATTAAACTTTGAGATAACTCTGATTGGAGTGTCTCCATAATATTTCATCTTGTACTCATTATTTTGTATGTATCTATTTTGTGTATTGCTGGATGATCCCCATTACCTCTGATGGTGATATAGAAGAGCTAACTGGACGAGAACTAATGGTGAAGTTCAGACAATGCACAAAATATCTAGCTACTTGTTGTTAGGTAGGTACATTTAACCTCAAGTGAGGTAGAGTATAAATTAGCCACATTAAATTAGGCTACATTTAATGTTACTTGTCCACTAATGAACAAGTACCCAAGCTTCATTAGTAATACTCATACTAATCCCATGAAATTTGGACCCAAGCCCAACATGGCTACTCCTGAGCAATTAAGGAGAATCTATATTGGCCTTAAAGGTCATTTGACCAGATTAATTAACAAAGCTGAGGGCTTATCTAAAGATACTCCCATTGACTCTTATCACTTAGAGACATCAGTAAGAGTAGCTGAACTGAAATTTGATCAGGTTAGATCTACCAGTCAGTCTTATCTTACTCTACTGAATACCACAGAAACTGATCCTGATGAAGTAAGTCAAATTGCAGACGATATCTCCCAGTATGAAGATGAGACTCAAGATAAACTTTACATGCTATCTGCACTAGCAAAACAATCTAAATCCAATACCAGTAACACAGGGTCTCAATTCAGTAACCAACTACCAGAGGTTCGTTTACCTACTTTAGACTTACCTACATTTTCAGGATTAGATACAGAAAGTTGGGACGATTTCTGGAGTAAATTCGAAGATGCAGTAGACTCTAAAGCTAACGTTCCTCAAACCACCAAATTCACTTATTTACAAGGCTTGTTACGAAATGAAGCCTTGAAAGTAATCTCTAATATAACACTGACCAGTGATGGTTACACATTAGCTGTTCAATTGCTCAAAACCAACTACGATAACACGGAGAGAAATATTACTGTCTTAGTTCAAAAATTGCTAGATTTACCCTCTGCTAATAATTCCACAGATTCTCTCCAAAATTTCAGACTAGAGTTAGAGTCTTTACTCAAGGCCTTAAGCCTTAAAGTCCAAATTCAGTCAGCTGAATGGATGACCAAAGTAGTTGTTAGGCGAAAATTGCCAAGAGAAACTTTAGATAAGTTGTGTACTATGTACAATAAGACCTTTTTGACTTTGAAAGAGATCACAGAAGGTCTGCATACCTTAGTCGAAAGACAAAGAGCTAACCAAGATGGGGAGAAAGTTTCAAACTCCTCTACTAACTCCCATCGTAACTCAGCTCAAATTGACACTTCGGTCAAACCCAAACAGGCTTTGAATAAGTCTAGTAAATATAAAACCAAGACTACTCCATCCACTGGGAAAAGAAGTGGAAATGTAGGCACTTATTCGGTGTCTCCTTCTGAGATAACCAATGACTTGTCTACTAAAGAGACCAAGTCAAACAAAGAGAGAAGGTGTCTGTTCTGTAATCAAGGACATGCCACCTACCAATGCTCTGTTTATCCTACTTATAATACTAGGATTAAAAGGTTGCAAGAAATACACAAGTGCACCAAGTGCATGGGCTCTCATGATCCCAAAAAATGTGTAGTGCAGCTACGTTCCTGCAATAGATGCAACCAAGGTGTACATCACTACGCCTTATGGGGCCATATCACCCGGATTTAAAAAATTGTTGTTGGGTATTCATAATTTATTATCCTGATACATGTGAAAGGTGCTGCACCTAGGCCAAGTTTCAGCATCTCAGCCTAAATAGAGACGGAGAAAAAACAAAAACAAAAAAAAGACGAATTTTTCAACCATGTTCAAAAAATTTCACAGCCCACAATTGTGAACCAAAATCATTTATACGACACTCAGCTATGACCTTACTATATAATAAAGATTTGCATGTCACATTATTATCCCAGATGTATTTAGTGCAATAATACAGATTTTATAAAAGTTTCCCAAAAACGTATGCAACAAAATGAGGTGTATCATTATTTATAAAATCAATAAATCTACGTAGATAAGAATAATGACATGCGTTTATAGAGGCGTAAACTCTACATATAATGTGCAAGTTTCATGAAAATAGAATAATAAATAAAGGCTGTGAAATTTTATCTAGTTGTAAAAGTTGGAGTTGCGTAGCGCGCTCTCAAAGTTTCTCAACCTGCTGTCACTCGTGACTGGTGAT